CCCTATCGAATATCAAAACTCACGAATAAGAATCAGAAAGTCAACTCCTTCTCATTTTTCTTCTTCATGCTTAAGGATTCTCATCATCATCTTATTCTTTTTCTTCTTTCTTTTCTCTTCAATTTTATCATCAGAGTTATCAGAAGTCTCTGTTTCTCATATTCTCTTGAACTTCCACCATGTTCTTGTCATTTCTCCTTTTCGATCTCATCATGACTTTATCGGTATCATCCTCTTATACCACAACAAAGGTATAAGATTGATATTTCTGACAAAATAGTAATGACCCTGTCATGGTAAATGATTGTTTGTCATTTAAGGAAAAATAGACACCCTGAGACCAGAGAAGCGAATCTTGAATAATCAGGACACAATTTAACACGAGATTAAAATATTAGCATCTATCTATTAGTAAAATATAAATGACTTCCTCGATTGACCAGAACTCATTTACTCTTATGTTATATTTTATGTTCACTTGAAAATGTCTTGAAGTTCATTTGAAAAGGTATTCAAATTGATTTATAAACATTAAACTTGAGCTGATTGATGAACCAAATTTGCACTGAATAAAGTTTCTAAGGATTTATCATTTGTTTCGAGACTAGAAAAAAGCACTGAAATTGCTTACATTTTTCTCTCTCAATGGAAATAGAAAAAAATATTATATGGGAAATTCTGGTAAACCAAAAAAAAAATCAGAACTTTACAGTTATTCTTTGATCGTTATCGAATTATTTATTTTTATTTTTATTTTTCTTCAACAGTTTCTGTGGCTTGTAAGAGAATCGGATAATGTGAAAAGTGATCATGTTGAATGAAAACATGATCACTTGATGGTGAGAATAGATTTTGGAATTTTATCATTCGATGGAGAAAAATTGATGAAGATGCCAAAGATTAAGAAAGATGAGAAATGGAAACATTATCCTGGTGATAATCCTGAAAATTGCAAGAGAACTCAGTTAATTCATTTATTCAGTTGAAAATGGATTGAAAGATATTCTTTTGAGAGAAAAAAAATCTCTGCACCAAAATAGTAATTATGAATTTGAATGCTCGAAGTAAACAGCTGACATTATGCTCTGTATTGAAACTTTGATATTCTCTTTTCATTTTTTTCTTTCTTTCCTATTATCATCATTAGAATTCCAAGAATTGATGTTGAACATGAAGGAAAAAAAGGATTTTCAAAGTTCTGATCCGTTATCTTGCCCATTGAGTTTATTTCACTTGCTGGTGACATTTTAAGGTTATTACAGAATTTGTTAAATTGTTTCAATTAATTATAATGATAAATAGCATCAATTATTTATTTTCTTGTACGAAAAATATTATCATCATCTAAATAATTATATTCATTATTATTATCATGCATGATAAGAATGAAATTCAACTTTTTTCCCTCTTCCATCTGAAGCCTATTAAAGATTTTATGAAACACTTTTTTTAATCATTATCTGAATATTGAACATTTAGGATAAACGTAGATGAATATTACATTATGGTAATAATAATTTTCCAATGATCAATCAATCATGATTAATCTGTTAATGTTGAACAGGAATAACTTGAGGATATGAATTAGCTAAATGGGTGAATGGGTTAGGAATGATAATCAGAATGGTTATTCAAACTAATCAGAAAAAGAAGAAGAAAAAAACTAAAAGAAAAACTTTTTCGCTCGTTTTTCTTTAAACTAAAGAGAGAAAAAAGAAAGAAAGAAAGAAAGAGAGCAAGAAAGAGGATGGATGATGAGTGAGAAAAAAAAAATGAGATTTGAATAATTAGATGATAAAGTTGCTCCATGTTAATCATTGCCATTCCAAGAGTTACTCAGCCATTGAATGATGAAGATGAAGGTGTTTTTGAGAGGTAGATTGTGATCTCATCTCATGATGATCAAGAATCAGCAACATGATTCCTAAGCTTCACTCGATAAAAGAATAGTAAATCTCTCTCTCTCTCTCTCTCTCTCTCTCTCTTTCTTTCTTTCTTTCTTTCTTTCTTTCTTCTTTCTTTCTTTCTTCTTTCTTTCTTTCTCTTCCTCTTCCTTTTTCTCAATGTTCTAGACATTCTTACCTTGTGATCAGTTTCGTGTAGGTATCAAAATTTTTTTCGAATTTGTTATCATAAAAGATAAACATAACCCTCCTTGATAATATCATAAGCTCACTAAGCTCAGTGACAATATCAAGACTCACAAAAAAAAGATTGATGAGAAGATGAGATGAAGAGATGAAGAGTAGGAGAGGCGTGAATCTTGAAAATAGTTGTTCACTTTTTCATCTTCATCTTTGTGGACAAAATCAAGAGATGAATCAGAAAAAAAATCTCTCACTTTCTATGGACATTTTCATTTTGATAAACATGAATCAAAATATCATTCTAGTTGATTGATGATTAATGTTCATAACTTTCATTTTCACACTCTCTCAATGATTATCCTTATTGTTTTACCATTGATCATCATTCAGATGATGTTAATCATATAATTATTATTGAATTACAGTTTTATTGTAAGAATAATATTATCTTGTTGATACAGTTCAAGACTATAAATATTACAGATAAAATATCAACAGGTTACTATTGATAAATGATTTTATTCATACAAAAGCTCAACGAGTTTTCATCTTCAATTCTGATTTTGAGACAGAGTAAATGTTACAAAATCCATGTCAGATAGATTCACCTTGAAACTCATGAATTGAATGGAGATTGCATAACTTTACCTAATGTTATTCAATTGAATTAACTTTTTCTTCATGCAAAAATGACCATGAGAGTGAAAAGCAGCCACTTAGTGATAAATCCGATCAGAATATGTTCATTATTTTCCGAGTAAATATGAGTCCTTTTTCCTATCGAATCTGAAAAATATTTTGAACTCCATTCCTTGAATACTCCGATTACATGTTATGACAGATAAGATTTACCTCTTAACTTCACTCCTACGAAATTCATATGATATTTTTTTTTCGTATAATTCTTGCACTATAATCTATTATTGTAAGAATATAAATTCAAGAATTTGAAACTTTTTGATTGAACAGAAAAATCTGAGTAGAGGATAATTTCAATATCGATTGACACTATAACTCTTGGTCAATTAGTTAAAAGTTTCAATTCAATTAATTATGAATATGTAGAGAGACTTTGAAATCCCTAACGAATACCAAAAAGCTTTGAATATTTTAATTGATAAATCAGAGGATAAAAAATTATCTTTCAAAAAGCTTTTTCATCATCAACCTGAATCGCAAACATCCTAACCCTTTCGCCAGAATCTACAAGCATTTTCAATCTATTTTTTTACATCTCATGTCCATCTATCTAATTATTTACATGAATAACATGAATTTCTTCATGGTATTAATTTTCCATTCCAAATTCTTTACCTGGTTAATCATAATAACTCATTTGATTATCAACATTAGCTAAGAGTATCTGATAGAAGTGATAGAAAAGTAGGAGAAAACTTTTCCTTTCTGAAAATTTCCTTCTTAATATTAGATGAGAATGGAGAGTAAAAATGTTTCAAATTAATAAAATGGATTATCAGGATTAATAGAATACAATAAAAGAGCATTTAATTAATTTTCTTTTGCTCAGTCGGATTAGTGAATTTAATTTTCATCTATCGATGATTAAAAGGGAAACTTTTATCCTTTTCGACTGACGTTTCATTTATCACGAAGAATCAGTTTAATTGATTAGATTTGATTCTAAATAGTAACAATACTGTTTATGATTATAATTGTTGCCACCGGAACTTTGCAAGATAATCTCTATTCATCATTCTTATCATCATTAACTATAGTCATGAAAAGATCATGGTGATAAAGATTCGTTGATGGACATTATCATGGAAACTCATTTCTTGGAAACAGAATCTTACAATCGACATATTAAAAGAAAAGAGAGAGAGAGAGAGAGAGAGAGAGATGGAAAAGCTGAACAGAAGAATGATGAAAGTTCTGTAGATTGTTTTTTCTTATTCGATCTATTCTTGGATATTCTGTTCTATTGTCCTCTCTTCCACTTTAACACGAATACTTGGAACTTTTTTTTTCTTCTCTATCTCTACGAATGAAAGTATGATGACAAATCTTTTCTCCATATTATAATGATAATCTTTTTCCTTTTTATTATCAATGTGTTCACTTAATTATTCAAAGTTCCTTTTACCATTATAATGATTACTATCGTTTTAAGTTCCGTTTCCTGATAAACTCTGAGTTGATTTGAGTTTTCATAGAGTAAATTTGATGAAAATTCATTCCTTTTTCTTTCCTAACAATGGATCAAGATATTTCCGTATTGGGCACTGGAAGTAGCAAACCATAAATAAAGCAAGCTTAGATAATACATTCTGATAGAACAAAAAAAAATCTTTATGATCCTGGAACAGAAAAGATCTGAACCATGTTAGAATCATGGTAACGAATCAGGGCCATTTGAAACGTTAGTCAGATTGTCAGCTGAGCCCAAATTCAGGCTGAATACATCCAAAAAAAGGTAATAATGACTTGGGTGAGGTCGGTGTCTCTGTCGGTGAAGTTAAATTTTATTCTTTACACAAATAATTGATAATTTTCCTTTTATAATAATCGCCGAGTCGATTTTCATGGACAGTCAACTATCGAGTTGGAATTGATTTTGTCATTATCAAAAGCATAGTAGTTTTATTGAGAAAGGTGAATGTTATTGAACCAGATGAGCTGATGAGATGATGAGACAATCTTACAAGAGTAACCAAGTGACTTTTTGATTCATGGGAATATTTCAACTAACCCTGGTAACCATGAGATTTAAATCTCGTTGGCTGGTATTAAAATTTGCCTATTGTGATATTTGTATCTTTGACGTTGATAAGGATAACACTTATCTGGAACTTTCATCAAATATATTTCTTTTATTCAACGTATCAAGATTCTTATTTGATCTTTTTTTTTCTTTCCTCATTTGGTCCGATTTACTTGTTTAACCTTTGACAGGTCAATGCTATCAACAGGAATTCGCGTGATAACAGCAAATGCCTTTCAAATGTATTCGACTTCACTTCAAGATTTGTAAGTTCCAAGTGTCAATTTTCAGTTTCAAAATTCAGGATTATGAATTGCATGAAGAGCATGATAACTCAACCTTTTACATAATGTTAATCTTGAGCACAAAATTTTGCAGCTAAAACACCACAAAGTGACTTTGATGATACTTTTTGATGAATAGTCTAACTGATCGGAACCTTAAGTATATAATTGAACAGTTCAATCAAGTTTCATTTCGATCGAGTTCTAAATTTGAATATTGATCATTTAAATGAGTTGCTGATTCTAAGCTTGTAATGTTAATATTTAAGCTCATCATGAAGAGGAGATTTAAATTGATTTATTATCAAATTTAGCGGATTAAAACTATTGAACTTTTCAAGTTATTAGTAGGAACTATAATTCGTGGCTAGGATATTATCATGGTGATTATTATCATCAAACTAATGAATTAGAATAAAAGTCAACCTATTTAATACTAAAGAAGGAAAAGTTATCAATTATTAAGCGTCAAAAATGATTGAATATCAATGAGAAGTGAGAAAATTCTCAGAATTCAGAGAAAGAATAATAATTCAATCGGTTGACATGCTGATTGTTGCTATAATTTAACAGTTAGTTACTGTTGACATTAATGTTAATAGTTCAATTATGAGATAAATTGATCATAAAAGAAAATGAATTAATCTTTTTTTACATACTCATGTATTCATGTTGTTCATTTCATTGAGCACACACTCAATTCTATCCGGAAGAAGACGATGTTTTATTCAAGGTTCTCTCTCGTATTTCATCAACTCCCTCATTGTCAACTACAAATGTGCTTAACATTGTCATTAGATGACAATGGAATCAATTGTTATCCTAATAATGTTTATAAAAAACTAACCTTCGAATAAATGAAAGAAAAACTTTGAGCAAAGAAATTATACTTTCGAGCATGTAAATTTCTTCTAACCATTTTCGTCAAAGTTTCGATTCAAAAAATGAAAGTTCTATTCTTATTTTTTTCCACCTCATTATTAATCACTAATTCTGGATATCATTTATTTGTTCTCTCTCTCTCTCTCTCTCTCTTAGATATTTTGAATCTAACAAGAAACTTGAACGAATTGAGCCTGAAGCTTTCAAGAACCTTCATCTACTTAGAACAGTGTAAGTAATCAACTAATTGCGAACTTTTTATGCACCAAAATATCGATCAATTAATATTGGAACGATTGAGAATGAAGCACAAATATAAGGGCGAAAAAAATGAAACTCTATTCGCACTTGTATTCGATTAAACATCAACTGTAGTGTATCACTATAACTATTGACTTAAAATATCAGTTTACTTAATTTAGCGACAATTTATTACTTTTTTCGTTTCATCTTCAGGTACATAAAACAAGCGCCTTTGTTGAGATTCATTCCAGAAGGAGTTTTCTATGGAAATTTCCCCAAATTCAGGGTTCTGTAAGTATACGAACTATGGTTAGTTGCTATTCGACCGTTAAATATGAGATTCAACAATTGTTGCGATTGTCTTTTTCAAAGGAAAATTATACATTCTGGTTTAGAGGTTTTACCATCCATGACACATTTCGTAACCAAAGGAATCATCTCAATATTGTTAGTATTTTTTTCATCATTTTCGCCTCAAAATAAGCCATCTCATGTTATCTTTTAACTCCGTGTAGAGATTTTGACAGCAATCGACTGAAAAATATAACAATTGCTTCAATCAAAGTTAAGGCTAGTTCGATGTAAGTAATCAAACAATTTGTTCAAATCATATTTCGTCAAAAACACTAAGTAACTTCTAACAATTAACTTATGTTCTCAGGATCCTTGATTACAATCAAATTGAACGAGTTCATAGTTTAGCTTTCGCTGGATCTCACATAGCAAAATTGTAAGTTTTTTTCTGTACAAATTTTAATTTAATAAATAATTTAAACTAAAAGCTTTTTGTAATTTTAAATAGAAGCCTAAAAGGTAATCGAAAACTGGTTGAAATAGACGACGAAGCTTTCGTTGGACTGAAAAACTTAGGGAAATTGTAAGTATCACCACAGAGTTTTACTGTTAATCGTGATATTAATAACGAAAATTACTCTTGCATGATGAATAATAATAATATCTTCAATTCAGAGACTTGTCTGAAACAAGTATAACTCGTTTACCTACAAAAGGATTAGAGGAAGTGGAAGTTATCAAAATCGTAGATACATTTACACTTAAAGTATTTCCATCGGTTTTTAATTTCAAGAATCTGAAAGAAGCTCAGCTCACTTATCCATATCATTGTTGTGCATTCAAATTCCCTGCCACTCATGATCCAAAAGAATTTGCCTCAAGAGCCTACGAAGGACGAAGGTAATATTCAATTTTCTCATCCTAATTTGACAATTATATTCTTAACAATTTCTCCAATATCAATATTATCAAATTGCCTGAAGCAATTTGATAATATTCCAAGTATAAACTAATAATTGTGACAGTTACATTGTACTAATATTGTTCTCATCAATTCTCAATTTTTAACGCTTATTTATCAGATATTGTCGCCAAGGGGCAAGTAACAATAAGATTTCACCAGGGAATATAAAATTATCACCATTAGTGACTACATTGTCTCCACCGTCATTGGACTTTGATAGTCATTACCATCCTAATCCTAATCCTAATCATCTGAGTCAATATTTACACCAAAAGGTAAACAGTTATGAAACAATTAGTGACAATCAATTTGAACACCAAAAGCATAAAGTTAATCACAGGGATAACAAAAATCCGTATCCATATAACCATGATCACTATCAATCAAACCAGGTAACCTTATTATTAATTCATTTCAATGAATAATTTTCTCTCAATTGTCTCAAGATTCATTTTTTTTTCTTCAAATTCTCATGTTCATTTAGTATCCAACATTTCATCATGTGCCTCAATCTGATCAGAATGCTCCCTATTGGCAGTATATTGGTGATAGAATTACACATTTCACTCGACGATTAAATTCATTTCTAAGTGATTACAGTTTTATCGAATCAATGAATTCCCTTGATCCTATTGATTCCTCGTCTCATTTAAACTCCTTAACAACTCCTCATCACTCTAAAATATCATCATCACCATTATCATCTTCATCTTTTGATTCTCCTTCAGTTGCTCTAGGTGATGATAATGAGCACCCTGAGTATTATACTAACGATAATAATAATGACAATCCAATAAGAGTTAACTCTGATCAGACCAATTGGTTTAACATTTCACCATTTTCCTACCAAAGTAACGGTTTCTTATCATCACCATCATCAACAACAACAAGACCAACATCATCTTTACACTTTTCTACTCCCTCATCATTTGGTGAATTTATTACCTCCCAGACAAATTCCTTTGATTCAAATATTTTTGGTAAAATTATCGCTAATCCATCCGATTCTGTGAAAAATTCATCTTCACTTGATATACTTGAAGATGCTCTCAATCCCAATCCCGGATTTGGTCAAGTTCAACCTCCTATTCTTGAACTTTCACCATCATTGGTACCACATTCAATAGATAAATCTAAACATGGAGATGATGAAGATATCCTTGGACAATTTCATCCAACAACGGCTTCAGTAATACCACCAATTCATGTAAGTAAATCTAATGATCAACTCAATACTATTCTGATATTTATTATATAATCTAATATATCATCTTAAATTCAACTTTTATATACCTTTAGGCTCTTTGTGGTGAATATGCTCAAATTTTTCGTGATATAAAATGTTCACCAGAACCTGATGCATTTAACCCATGTGAGGATGTCATGGGCAATCTACCTCTTCGTATTGCCGATTGGATTATCTCGGTAGCTGCAGTTCTCGGTAATTTAGCAGTTATGATCGTACTCATGTCAGGTCGTTTTACAATGTCCGTCTCAAAGTTTCTCATGTGTAACTTGGCTTTCGCTGATTTTTGTATGGGTGTTTATCTTTTAATCATTGCTGTAATCGATCTACACACAATCGGTGTTTACTTTAATTACGCCATCGATTGGCAACACGGTCTAGGCTGTAAAATAACGGGATTCATAACGGTATTTGCAAGTGAATTATCAATCATTACCTTAACTGTAATTACCCTTGAACGTTGGTATGCAATTACTTACGCTATTCATTTAAATCGCCGACTTAAACTTGGCCTTGCAGTTAAAGTAATGATCGGTGGGTGGATATATGCAATCATCATGGCATCACTTCCCCTGTTTGGTGTTTCCGGTTATTCAAAGACTTCAATATGTCTCCCAATGGAAAACAAAGATATCGTTGACATTGTCTATCTAACCTTATTATTGACAATCAATGCTCTTGCCTTTGTGCTTATATCTGCATGCTATGGAAAGGTAATTATTATCATCACCAATGAATGAATAACAACCTCACCAGAACTTTTGAAAATAACATTGATGAGCTTTAAATTTGTGTTTTTATCTTTTCTGTTTCCGCTTTTACCCGAAAGATGTATCTTGCAATTGTATCACAAAGATCACGAATTGCCACAAGTGATAAAACTGTGGCCAAGCGAATGGCCTTACTCGTGTTCACTGATTTCGCCTGTTGGGCTCCTATCGCTTTCTTTGGACTGACCGCTGTGGCTGGTTATCCATTGATTAATCTGACCAATTCAAAGATATTATTAGTTTTCTTTTATCCTCTCAACTCATGTGCTAATCCTTTTCTTTATGCAATTTTAACCAAACAATATCGACGAGATTTTTTCATCCTCGCCTCACGTTATGGTTTTTGTACTAAAAAAGCAGCTCGATACAAGGGAACCTCAGCTAATTGTAAACACCACCGAAAACCATCAATTAAATCAAGAAAAGGTGATCATTCTTATATAAGATAAATATACAATATAAAAAGAAAATTTCTCATAAATAATAATATCCTCATTCTCGAAGAGTCAGGAAATAGATTTCTATCTCTTTCAGTAGACTGAGAATATTTGTTTACTATCACAATTATCGATTTTCTTTGTGATTTATTTTATTTTATTTTCTTCTTTCACAACTCAGGAATTCCTAAATGTGGTCAGGTAATTTATGATCCTCGTAATGATCGTTACAGTCGATATCGAAGTAGAAATTGTGTCCATCAAAATTGTTCCTCGGAAGAAAATTCTGGCCGTTCAGTGATCTATTCAGCGATTGACTTTTATCCTGATTCCTCAGTTTCCGGTGATTCGTCTCATGAAATATTGAAAATGGGACATTTTATTTGTGATCATCATCATACATGTTCACATAATAAAAAGAAACATAAAAAATGTCAGAATCACTATCCGGTAAGATATTTTTGTATCTCTTTAAATCTGATCATCATCAGAGTTAATTGTTGTGTTGATTAGTTAAGGTAATACTTTTCTTACTAAATCTTTTGATTAAATCTCGTCACTGTGACTGATTGTTTGCAATTGGAAGCAAAAACTAATTAGACTAGAGGCAATATGATTAACTAAATCAGTCAATCAGTTTTGTTGCATGTTAATTACAACTGGATAACTTAATTACTCAATAAGATTATCTAACAAGTTATAACAATTTACAGAAAATAATAGTCAAAGAGTTGATTAACCTTTCGGGAATTGTGATAATCTTTTATCCAATTAACTTGATTGTTTTCCTTTCCTTTCCTTTTCTTTTCTCATTATTATATTTAGCAAATTTATTCTGATGATGAAAGTAACTCATCAATATCGGCTAATAAGAAAAGTCCATTGGTCATTCGAAATGGTAAAGAGCTTCGTCGATTACCAAGTTGTGAACGTGATGAGATATTGAAAAAAGTTATTACCGAAGGTCAAACAAATCCAAGTCGAACTGTTTGCTCGGGAATTTGGACAACTTCGACTTCTTGTTCATCAATCCATAAATCGCATAAAAATTGCACCTCATGGATTCAGCGTGATAGCTCATCGGGAGAAAAAAGTAGCGGCGGCGGCGGCGGCGGTGGAAATTCAAACAACACCAATGGTACAAATAATGGAGCCGATGCAATTCAGACAACAACAGCTATCGACTCAGATACTAAATCAACTTGCTGTAAACACTGTAAACAAATTACAATTGAAAACGGTAGTTACATAATTAGCAGCCATTCAAATAGCGCTGCCGATGATACAGAAATTTAAAATCAATCAAAATCCATTCCAACAATCAATTGGAATAAACAAAAACAATAACAATCCAATTAATAGAAATGCAAATTGTATCTTTTAATTTGGTATTTAACTTGAAGTGTAAATTTAACAATTAATTTAATATTGTGTTCCAATAATAATAATAATAATAATAATAATAACAGTCAACAATGTTTTTCCATCATTAATAATAATTTTATCGCAATTATGTCGTCGTTTATGGTAATGATAAATATGAAATGAAACTTTGTCTTAATTTGTTTGTTTACTTTTACAACAATTAACCGATTTCGAGGTAAATTTCAATTTCTTTGCATAATTTTTTGTTTTGTTTTGGTGTTTTCTGCATTTACTATTGTTGAGGTGCTTGAAAAAAGGTAAGAAATAGTTTTTTTATTGTCATTTGTTATCCAATTTGGTTAATCAATTGTTTACCAAATGATCACCGATGAAAACTTGGTGTTAAATCAATCGATTAAACTTATACTCGATTCCGAGGAGGTGTTGGTGTTGTCAATAATGATCTTTGTTTCTCTCATTTTTTCTCCGTGCAAATGATTAATTATTGAAGAATTATTTATATAATTTATATGTTTATCGGTCGATTGAGTGATATTATTTTTTTAACGAAATTGATTCTGGTTGTTATCAAGAATACGACTGCTAATATCATAGTTCTGATTCTGGACTCATTGATAAACTAATTCCATCGGCTGGTTGCTTCCGGGCATTTTGTTCTCGTTGAATTGCATCTACAGTTTAATAACAGAAATTATTAATAATATAATCAAAATTGTGTTGACAATAAAATGAGAATTTAGAGAATTCAGATTCTAATGCCATCTATTGATGTTTAAAGAAGTTCGAACAAAAAAAACTAACCAATGGTCGCTCTTTCTTGCCATCTCTTGCGATTTTCTTCTAGGTTATCGAACCATGGACGTTTCAATCGACCACCTTCAGCCTTACAATTACCGAATGATGTACAGTGTGAAAATCGAGGGGAAGCGGGTGCACTTGCGACCGGTCTAAAATGGATGAAAAGAATACAAATGAGCTCGAATTTGAATTGAATTATATTCGTTTCTTTTTCTGTTAGAAATTACCTTGAATTGACTTGAGAATCAGCTGAATCGACGGAAAGTCCACTTCTCTTATTCTTATATGTGGACAAGGATTTAGGTCGAGTTCCGTTATCTGGTAATCTCTCTTCGAGACTTTCCTCTGAACTTCCTGATGAGTGTCTACAGCCTTCCATTTGTTGATAAATCTTATCCAAAAGGTCACCACAAACCTCCAAAGAAGGAGCCACGATAAAATCGATAAAACCTGAGAAAGTTGTTCCAATCCACGCGAAAACGAAAAATTAAATAGCATTTTCATCTTCGTCTTCATCTCAAATCGAATTGAATTAATTATGATAACCTTACCTATCTGTGATTCTGCAACTAATGTAGTATTACGATCACATAGCGGTGAATAGGGTAACCCAAGTTCTCGTTCCTTATCACCCTGTAAATATCAATCGATGAAGGAAATTAAAGTTAAATCATCAATCAATTTACAAAAAAAAATTCAATAGGCATCAACCATCTTATCAGTTTGTATCATATTTTCAATAAAATTTGACATGAAACATGAAATACCCTGAGGGTTGAAGTCATAATGTTCATGTTCATATCAAATAAAGAAAATATCATGGAAATAGATTGATAACTTTTTCTATGAATAACAAAATCTTAAATCATTGTCATCATTCAAAGGGAAAGTTAGTAGTTTTTTTTTGCAATTTTTTTCTTCCAGAATTTTGGTTCACAGAATAAGATAAAAAATTCCAAGAACTGATTCCCTGAGAATCTGTCAAACAAAATTTACTGACATTCGCCTTTCCCCATTTACCATGATATTGTTCATCTATTTTTCATTCGCCATCATAATCGTCAGTAAATCAGGTGAATGACAATAAATGAACATCTTACATAACTGAGATGGTGAGAACCGTATTAGAGGGAGAACAAGAGAAAGAGAAAGAGAAAGAGAGAGAGAGAAAAAAAAGTTCTGCATCCAGTTTCCATCATCATGATAATAATAATCATGTATTCAGCTGAATAATAATGTCACAAGAATGTTGAGAATGAGAAGAGAGAAATAGAAAAAGAGAAAAATAAAACTTTGACAAGGAAAAGAATAATTTTTTTTTCTTCTTCTTTCGTTATTCAAAAATATCACAATTCTGATAATAATTTTCTCAATTTCCCTCGTCGGTCATTTTTCTCACCTGACGGAAAAATTCTTCTAATAAAAGTTCTGTCCATCGTCGATGAATATCCCATTGTTTACTTGGATGGCTTATGTCACAACAATGAAGAACCAGAGAAAGTGCTTTCGATTTGTCAACCGTAAATTCATTAGTATTTGAAAGTAAACTTTTCATCGTTTTTATCTGTTGAAAATGTGAAGACATATCAGTCGCTAGAACCATATCGATCACAAGGGTACGCAGCTCTCTACAAAAATCGAAAAGAAAACTCCAATTAATACAAAATAGAAAACCGATAGAAGGTTGAAAGAAAAAACCAAGCTAAAAAAGTTCTCTATTCTAGTATCAATTCTAACTGATAGATGTCATTAGTCAACAGAGAAATTTTGAAAATCTACTAGTCGAGTTTCAAATTTGCCGGTTTTTTCGAAACAAAAAAAATTCGACCAATTACACTTACCTGTATTCTTCTTTATTTAAATTTACAAGTATATTACAATCATTTTCCTTAAGAATACGAAATGCTGCCGAGATGTGAAAATTTTCCAGAACAGCTCTGTCATTATAAAGAAGCGCAGTTTCCGATCTGAATGATAAGAAGAAGAAGAAAGAAAAAGTTGTCAATATTATGATTTACTTTTCGAAAATATCATATTAGTCAACATACTCTGACATGACATGGAAATTATTTGTTGTTCCAGTGTGTTGAAAATCATGAATTATCGCAGCCAAAAGAGTTGCAAATATTTCCAAATCAGTTAACCAATTCTGTTGGATGAATAGATGAAAAATTCATCAATTTATCAAGAAAAGCGAAAAAATTGAAAATAATTGTCAACTAATGTGCTACAACCATGAAACAGTAATCAAGTTTATCAGTCATGATACACATTGAATTTATACATTGTAATTACAATTATTCAATTGGTTAGAATGAAATGAGAATTGATATTATTCCAATCTTTTAATCCAAGAAGATTAGTTAGATTAATACTCACAACTAATCCCATTTTTGATAGCATGTAGTGGACGGTTTGAGTTACATCGGCTGCATGGATATTATTATGATATGGATTTTTGAATTTAGTGTATCCCTGTTCAAATTGATTTAAACAGCTTTCTAATGTTTCCAATGGAATCTTGAATAAGAAACAATTGAATTAAAAGGTTAGTTGATTATTTTGAATTTGAATTTACGTTTGAATTACCTTGAACTTATGAACTAAACCATAGCGATTAAGAAGCTCGTAGCTGATATACTTGAGAACCTGATTATTTGATGCTTCGTTTAACTTGAAACAATCGTAGGACCAATTGTCGATACTCTGTGACGAAGTGGTGACAAAATGTTTAATTTTATGATTTTTTCAATGGCGGAAGGAAGGGTGAAAAATATTCGTTTTATACCTTTAATTTATCGGCAATTTTGGGTGGAATTTGTACCATGTTAGAACAGCAAAGTCGACGATATAATCTATCAACCATGATTCCTGCTCTAATTGCATTGGCAACTGAACGAAATTTAGGTTTCTCTTCAGAGCGACGTTTTTGAGCGGTATTATTACGGGTAAAGGTTGAGGCCAACCATTCACGAACCTCATTGGGAACTGCATCCGGTTGAACTTCAGATAAATCATCTTCTTCATCCAAGATTTTCCTATTGAAAAATGAAGCAAGCAAAAAAGAAAAAACCAAAATAAACTTCCTGTTAGAACTTATCATCTAATAATAGACGAAACGATCGAAAAGTTCAATCGAAACAATGGACAAAAATGCAAATATCAAGAAAATGATTGAAAGAAAATGAGAAACAAAGAAAATAATATCAATTTATCTTTGAAATATTCTCGAATTATTAGAACAAAATCTAAGCAACTGCTAATAAAAATCGAATAAGAAAAAGGAGAAAAAAAAAGTTCTAATCAAAAAATTCGATCAAAGTTTTTTTTTCTTCTCTTCTATCTGACATTTTGATCATTTTCCTGTTCTCATGATTTCTTTGTTTTTCATCATGTTATCGTACTCGGAAATAACATTAAATATCAAGGCGATCAACACATAAATAAGATAACAATAAATAACAAACAGAGACATTGATTTTAAATTGATCAACAATCAGAATACAACAATTAAAACATTAACAGGAAACAAGAAACATAAGCAAACAATGAAACAAAAGTTGCAAAGGTGAAAACATGAATAAGATGAGATTGATTGAGTTACAATCAAATTAATGAGAATGAGGGATAATTATGATGATGATGATTCTAATGAGAAATTGAAATTTTCACATCTCCATTGGTGTAAAATCAACAATCATGATAAACTTTAATTACTTTCATCTTACTTATCTAAATTGTATCATTTGGTTGGAGCATATTAAACGTAATCATGTGGATAATTATATTTATCATGTTACCTTTTTGTAACTATGATACTTTAACTAATCATGAACTTTTGGTGTAATTAAGGCTCAATTTTAAATTAGCTCATGATTATAGTTGTTGGTAAAAAAAAAAGTTCTCAATTCGTAATAATAATATAATAGTTGAAATGTCTCATTTTGATTCTCATTAAATTAGTTACTTTAAATGTAAATTAAGTTCTTAACTTTTTAAGTTTCTTTTTCATGTTTACCTTTTCCCCTGGAATCATGAATTTCAATTCATTTAATGAGGAAAAACTTTTTTCTCTTCTTTTGTATAAATATGATTACGAACTTGTTATTTTATTACTTAGAACTTTTCTCTCACCCTGATTCTCTATCTATTTACAATTTTACACCTTTAAATCTTATTCTTTTTATCATGTTCCATGAGATTTACTCAGGAAATTATTTCGATTACAAAACTTACACCAAGTATTCAGACTTTCATCAAATTCATTCACCAAGTTTCAACTGAATCACTTTGATCAGTTGAGATTCATTTTCTTTTTTTTAGCAATTAGAAACTAAATGAGACTAAAAAAGTTGTCAAGCTGATGATTAGTTAAATATAATGAGATTTAATTACAATTTATAATCAGATGAAACAGGAAAAAGCCGCTCAAATGTTACACAATAAGATTACAATTAAACTTTGAACTTCTAATTAACTTTTACTTTAGAATCAATGGATTTAGATGATTATCTTATTTCAACTGAGCTTTTCCTCCAGAATAAGTGTTGGAAAAGTTGGAAAGGTCATCGTTGAAGGTTAATTGTCTTGTAAAAATCAACTGTAAACGTTTCTGACGTAACAATGATGATAGTAATTATCATATTGTATCTAATGAGATAATCAAATTTTTCCAATTAGAAAAACGGATAATAGAAAATGAAAAGTAAAATCACTGAGACTTTACCGTAAAGGATTAACTAATGATCATAATGATCATCGTCGATTTTGATTAAATGAAATGATCAAGATACACAATTCATTTAACAGAATAGGTGAAAGTTGAAGACTGAAAAAAAAGTTGATCCAAAGTTAAAGCTCATTAAAGTGTCTCTGACATGATAAAAGTTACCTCTTCAATCTGGTGTTACCTGTGTGTGCATTTTTATCCTCATCTTTTTGGATATAACGGTAAAATGTTCATTTAAAGCTCTTCTCTGACAGAGAGATAACGATGAACAAAAAGAAGATGAAGATATAAAAGAAAGAATCTTTATTTTTTGTTCTCTCTGTCTCTCTCTCTCTCATCCAATTATCTATTATTTTTCGGATAGAATTCAGTCTTTATCGTCTTCATCATGATGCTCATTTAAAAAAAGGTAGGAGATGGAATTCAGAATGAAAAAGAAGATGATGAAGATAATAAAAGTTTTCTTCTTTTTCGAATCACATTAAATCTGATGATGATGATGACAGAAGATGATAATGTTGATGAGGATGAAGATGTAAGCAGAAAAAAACAAACACAACACTGATCAATCAACTGGATTAACATTTAATCAACTAAATTGCATAATCAGTATTATTTACATGAGAACAAAAAAACTTACGATTCAGCAATTTAATTTAATTCAGTTTACTTATCTAATTTTTTTTTCTCTTCAACCAAGATGATGATTTATTAATCAATCGATAGAGTTGAGGTTATATTAATAACCAATTTCGAGGTGAGAATAATTTTCTCACTTGATAACAATTAACTGATTGGTTGTTTATTAATCAGCTCAATTTGACTATAAAATAACTAATTCTCATTTATATTAATGATCAAGAGCAGCAAATTGTAACCATTTACATTTAGCAATCAAATTTTTGGATCAACGATTTTTAATCTAATTTGATTATCAACATTAAATTGTCAACACTGTCAATTTGATATTGATCAGAATCTTGATGATTAGATTCATATATCAATAATATATTATTATTATTAACTAGATTCCCTTTTGATAATATGTTTGTATATATAAATTTTGTTACTGATTGATCATCATTGATGCATTTATATGAATTCATTTATGATTAATGAATTACAATCAACAACAATCAATGACAATCAAATGTTTAATCATCAGTATCCAGTTTTTTTTTGTTGATGATGAAAGCTAAATGAATCCAATTAACTTGAATAAAATAATTGCCTATCAAAATGTGTGAACATTTATATTCACAAATCAAACATATTATTTAATAGTAAAACAAATTCAATATAAATCAAATGACCATTGATTTGTGGTCAGAGTAAAGTGATTATCTTAATCAAGATATTAACATATAATTACCATTCAACTAATACCGATAATATGATTACTAATCGATAACATTTCTCATGGAATATTGAGAATTTGAGAATCAAGAGAAAGCAAGAGAATTGAATATGTAAAGATAATTATGATTAAATCTTCATGGGAAGATGAGTGATATTAACTAAAGTGTTTTCGTACATTGGAATTAAAATGTAAAGTTTGTAACTTGGAAGATATTTAAATGATTTAACAATTAGCTCTAATGAACACAGAACTTAAATATTAGATGATAAACATTTTAGATTACATGAAATTAGTCATAATGATGATGATGAAATATAAGATGATATCAAGGAATGGCAATGAATTAATGATATATATATATGATATTAAGATAACAAGCAAAAAGGTATTGCACATTTACGGTTAAATACACCAGGTAAGTGGGTGGGGAGGGTATGCAAAGGAAAACTTTGAGCCTTTGGTTATGTGCAATGAATATTAGAATGCAGTTGAAATTGAAAAGGTAAAAGGTAATGATGCAAATGATTAGATAACCACAACAGCAACATTCAGAATGAAATATCATGATGATTATGACAAAGTTAATTGTGCATCTTTGCTTTGCAACAATTATGCCTTTAAGATATTGGTAAGGTGGGTGTTTGTGTGCTGTGGTGTGTGTATGTGTGTGTGTGTGACTGTGACTGTGTATATGTGAGTGTGTCTTTAGGTGGGTTTTGTTTTCTGGAAGGTGAATATCAATGACTGAATGAAGGATATATATATATCAAGAATAGTATCTTATTCTTTACGTCTCTTCATGATAAACAATAACAACTTTTGAATTTTGTATAAACCTTGAAATTTGTGTTGTTGGAATGGTTTTGTTGATTGATGAACTCCTTAAATCTGAACTCATTTCAAGTGATGATGATGCTATTGTTGTTGTTGCTGTTGTTGTTTTTGATGGTAATGATGGTTTTGTTGTAGATAGAGATGATGATTGATTAGTTATTGGCACAGGTCCACAAATTGAAAGGGATTTTGTTAATAGTGATGGAGTTGGATCACTTGGAGCTCTTACTCCAAGTCCTTTTTTCCTAACCAATCCTGGTCGCCATTTCCTTTATTTAAATTCATTTTCAAAATGGTTTGTTTTGTTTTCATGAGGATCAACATGTTATATTGTTCATGATGTTCAAGTTTTCATGGTTAGTGTTAATCACGATCAGAGGATAAGGTAGTAGGTTAAACAGAGAGGGAGAGAGAAAAGGAAAGGAAATAAAGGCAAATGATGAAGGACGAGAAGATACACCACAAAACACAGAAGAAGATTGAAAAGATGATGATGATGATGATGATAAATCGAAAGTGAGAGAGAAAGAGAGAGAAAGAAAAAAAGAGAGAGAAGATAAACAAAATGAACACATATAAACACACAATAGAATAGAAGTTGTTAATGAATTCGTAATAACTGTTGAACTTTCTTTGAATTCTGGAAAAAAAAAAGAATCTTCAAATTCAATATTGATCGTTATTCAATCCCAGAATCATCATGATAGTTTCATAAACTGAGAACTGAATCATTATGTTTAAAAATTAATTTGATTGATTGTTGGATCGTTGTTGCTGTTGTTATTATTGTTGGATTGTTGATCATTAATAGTTGATTTCTTATAAATTGTTTGTAGTAAAGTTACAAAGATAATATTAATATTTCAACAACAACAAAAAAATGGTAATAATATTTTTCACTCTCAGTTTCAGATTCATGGTGATATTATAAATTCACATGGTAATGGTTTTATTATTATCATTATTATATGAATGGATATCAATTGATGCTAATATGTATCAATGTAACAGATATACACTCACATTAACACATAGAACACATATAAATATAAATTACATGAGGGAATAGAAAAGTTCAGTCATGATGAATATTATTTCAGCGAAATCTAGCCTTCAATATAAGGAAAATTCAATGATAAGTATAAATTGATTCGTCTAATTTTATTGAGAGTATAATGTTCACCTGATTCTCAGAGTTTCAGGTTATGTTGACTTTGAATAAAGTTCTGAAGTTTTATTATTTTTTTCTTCTTCTCTACGAATAAATTTCAGCTCCTCATTAATTAATTATATGCTAATCAAGAATCTAATTTATCTATCGAAAGGAAGAAAAGTTCAGTAAAGTTGAACAGAAAATTCGTAAATTTTTTTTTCGCATTTATATTCAATTCACTATCTATTATTCATTATATAATTGTTCATTCATTATCATTGTTAACCTTTTCCTATTGACCAATGGTCATTTATCAATGGACACATAATCATCGTCATCATTATATTAGCATAACAATTAAGCTAAATTGGACTGTCAAATGTGTATGTATGTATGTGTGTGTGTGTGTGTTTAAATTATTAATATAATTTAGATAATAAATTGAAGTGAAACTTTTTTTTTACCGCGAAATTTTTTGTTTTTAAAATTTTTTTCTTCCCTTTCGCTTTTATCAAACAAAAATTACCATTATTATCAACTGAACCGTATCAACAATTAATAATGATTAGTTAATTGTAGTTTACCTGATTGTCCAGTTTTCTGGTTGACCAGTGAAAAATAATTAGATAACACAATTGACCTCAACTATTAACTATACATTAGTTTCAATTAGTTATCAACTGGACACGATAATTATTATTATATATTATCTATATTAGATGATGATGAAGATGAAGATGATAATTATGATGACAAATAATATTACAATTAGTAAATTAGATTTAAATATATGTTTGTGGTAGTAAATTATCACCAAAATGATTGGAAAACAAATAAACAGATAATAATATGAATATGAATGAATGAGTAAAGAAAAAAAAACCGAAACAAAATTAGATTAACATTTAATTATGATTACAGGTTAATTGTAGAAAAGATCAGCTGATTGTTAAAGCCCAATGATGATGATTAGATTTTAATTAGTAGTAATTAAATTTTCTTTCTACTTTTCTAGAATCTATTTTATGTTATTAAAGACTATCACTAATAAGGGGGAAATAGTTTATTAAAATATCTCGTAAAGAAAGTAAAATTAATGACGAAAACTGATTACTTTAATTGTTGCTAAATTGTCAATGATTAAGTTCTTACCTTGTTTCATCCATGGTCACTGTATCCAAGACACAGGCAGCATATTGAAGTGTCTTCTTGAGTATTGATATCGGTACTTCCCCATGGTCCAAATGTTGAGCCAATTCCCTTAATCTAAATGATGATTATCGTAATGATCAAAATAAAGGGGAAAAACAAAACGATAGAACAATTAATTTTAGGTAAGATTAACCAACAATATAAAAGATTCATTCAATTGAAATCATCATGATGATAAGTATGAAAATTTAGTTACAAAGGATAAGAAGAAAGTTCTGACTGAGTTAATGTTCATTAATGAGATTGAAGTTTTATCGTTCATTAGATAAACTTGATAATATCAATAAAAATATTCAACAACATCAATAGACTCAATTTTTTATTCGAGGAACAAATTTTCAAGGAAATACGTTGAATCCTTGAAAATTTATATCCATATCTATGTATCGATCCGATATTATCATGAAAGTAATGATAATAATGTAATAATAATACATCATCATGGTGATGATGATGATAATATTATAATCATCATCGTTTTATCATCATGATTATTACGTAAAAGTGTCAGACCTTTCAGAGCAAAGAGAGACCATCTCTTTGGGTTTCATATTTGATTTAGTTTATAAGTTTGACTTTTAGATGATCAAGATGATGATGATGATGATGATGATGATGATGATCTGTATTTGGAATGATGATTTCAATGGATTTGTTATTTGTGATTCGGTGAAAACTGATTGACTTGAAACTTTATATTTATATACGATGAAAGATGATGATTCAAGTGTATATCATGAAATGGAAACATTCATTTGGTATCTTTTTTCCTGGATATTATTATTTTGTATCATCATCATCATGATGATTATGATGATGATAGGTTTAGGTTAAACCTTATTGGTATTAATATTTGAAACATTGATACTCAGATGATAACAATAACCATGAAATATGAGCACATAAGAGTAAGATGATTATGGTTTCAGTTTTTTTCATCATAATCCCAGAACTTTTTTTCTCATTAGTTTCACTTTCTATTAATATTAATAGTTTGAAAAGTAATTAAACTTGTACATAGACACAGTTAACTATTGTTCACTTTATCCCTGCTTTAATTGTGACCAATTAATCGTAACAATTAGCACATAAACAATTTACAAATTCGTGATGATGATGATTCAACTTTTAGATATTTTCAAGAAATGAAAAACTTTTCACTTTCATTATATTATCAATTTATTCATTTGATTGTTGGAACTTTAATTTTCATTGATTACAATCAATTATAACTAATTGTGACTCTGAGTGAGACTCAATCATGTTTAATTGTATCAATAGTAATCAATGGTTATATATATTTGTGTTCAAGTGATTAACTTGTAATCTAATCAAAAACGATACATTTCATTTTTTTTCTGAGTCTATGACGTTTAGCAAATGATTGGTAAATTGTTGTTGAACCAAATCAATTTTGTTTTTAATTGTTTGCAATACATTGAAATAAATACACAATTGTAACAATTGACTTCTAACTAAACGGTTGACGGCAACAATTAACTTTAATCATCATCATCATCATCAAAATTTATTGTCATCACAAAAAAAAGTAAATATTTAATAATCAATTGATTTGATTGATACTATTAACCATTTCCAATCACAATTTAGACCTACAATTAAATATTATCAATTGTTATATTGGTTTGATCAATTTTTTTCTGTTCCATTGTAAATCATCATCCAATTATATTGTTTAGTAATTTGATTGTAATGATTTAATTGCTAATCAATTACCAGTAATTACTTGTTTTCTACCTGAACTTTTATATTTATTAAATTAAGGCCTTTGGATGGGCTTGAATCATATTGGATTTAATAATCATTTGGTTTCATGTCTCATGACAATTAAATCAATTCATTGATCATCATCATCATCATCACAATCAACTTGAAGGTTGACAATCAACACCTCAAGGTTAATTTACAAACAATCATAATCTTAAATTGTTTGCTATCAGTCAAGTTGTTAATCAATTGTCAACCTTTTCAAATCCATGTAATGATAATATACTTGTTCATAACACTTACACAATGTTAATTGTTAACAATCAAATTTAATTGCTCAGGTAACCTTATCATTAAGAGAGGAGGGAGGAAAAAAGTGTTGACAAATTTTAACAGAAACGGAAATGAGAAACATGATTACTATTTCCGCTTTTGACCTGAATAGTTAAGTTCAATTGGTCAAGTTGGAAAAGGTGATCAACTAGATAATATCAATGGAAAGATATTCTGATAACAATTAACTTCCTTCCTGATGATGATGATTATCATCAGTTAATTGTTGATATAATTCAATTGAAAGAGGAGACAAGAAAATATTGGAAAAAGATGTGATAATTTTTAAGAATCAAATTCTGATAAAAGTTAATCATCAATCCATTGGTGATTTCCTTCAATAATCAATTCTTTATGTATTGTCAATTGTTGGTAATCATTTATGGTTAACTTGCTTTAATTACATTTAAAACAATTAAGAGATAATCAAATCATCAGATAAAAGTGTTCAAGGTTTTTGTTTGGTCCCCAAATGAATAACATGATTATCATGAACCATGAACATCCCTTCATGAATGAGTGTATATCCTTTTTCAGGGGATAATATGAACTTTCATTGGAACAAGAAAAAAAGTTTTACTTTCTTGGTTAATTAATTAGACTCTAATTGCAAATTTGTTACCTTACAATTTACTACAATTTAGCTAATAACGTTTGACATTATCATCTCATAACCTTAATATCACCATGATAATTATCATTATTATCATGATGATAATAACAATCTTTACCAATCGATATATATCGTGATCCTATTCAACTTAATCATCTTGATTGTAATCAGTTAATTATACATCATGTAAATCTAATGACAATTATTTTCTTATTATAAGGTCATAACTAGAAATCATCTTATTCAATTTAAAATTCATTCTCTGAAGATTCACCTGAGAAAATGATGAAATTCATGATAATCTAAATTCATTGGGATGAATCTGAATTCTCATTGTTTTCATTGTGATTTTTTTTGGCTCGTTAATTGCTGTTAACTTTATTTTCTGCTTGTTGATTGTGATCAAATATTGGTAAATATTATTAATACATTTAATTGTTATCTCTTTCTGATTCTCTTTCTAGGTTAATTGCATTCACTTTTAATTGTTCACTAATTACTGTTGCTAATTCACCAATCAAATAGATACTTGTTCTAATAATTGCAATGACAATTAGCTAATCATTGGCTGTTTTGATGAAGAAAAAATAACAATTTTAACCTTGATAATTTTACACATTAAATTGATTGATTTTGAAACAAGGAAACTATTGATTTGATTGATTCATCCGTTAATATGATTGGATATTGTTTCATTGACCAGTGATAATTAAAAGTGAAACAATCAAATTAGTAACAGTTAAATAGACAATCTCATAGTTGATTGTTTTCATTTTGACCACAACTTTTGTATTTCCATCAAATCAAGGATATTACTGGTAGATTTTCATATTTAGTCCATTCATCAGAATTGAAACAATTTGAAACAACCATCAAGTTGAATCCAATCAATTTCAAAAATGGATTGATATTGATTTCATTTGATAAAAAAACTACAAGAGATGATGAGATTAATCAACTAATCCACTTACCTGGAAGCGGCTTTATCACAAGCTTCAACAGTGTCCACCGGTGGAAGTGTCTCCATCGTTGATTCCTTCAGAATTGATGAAGTATCGGTTACGATTTTATCTTCAATAGATGACGAAATATCCTTATCCTTAGCATTCCATGGTGAAATAGCCGATGGAACTGTTGTTTTCTGAACACCACGACGAGCAACAATAGCTGAAAATGATGAATTTAAAGAGAGGGAGAGAGATAATTAAACAATTTACTGGTTATGATGGAGAAACACTAATTGTAATGTCATCGAAATCAATTTGATCTTGTAATGAGTAATTGTTGGTGTCGGTGATGAAGATGATGATGAGGATAAGGTTGAGGATAAGGTTATGAGGTTGTTAGGAAGGAGAGTAATTGAATGAGAGAAAAAAACAAGAATAATAAAGAGAGAGAGAGGGAGAGAGGGAGATGAGGAAGATAAGAAAGTGTAGATAAACTATTGTGAGTTAATCAAATCGAATAATCGAAAGTTAATTCTCATTGACAGTCAATTCTATTGTTAAACAATCAACTGTAAGTGTTTATCAATAATCATTATCATCAAGGAGTAAACAAAATTCACCAATAAGTAAACAAAACGATGAAAAGTTTTGAAAAAAGTTTTTCTCTTCCAAAACAAAGATTCTGGTGATAATCATATGGGAAGATAATACATTACACTGCCATCTACTTATGATAAACTTTTTCTGAGAAGATGATGATGATGATCTTTGCATGAAAAAAGAGAGGATGATTTTTGAGAAAGAAAGAGGTCACCACTGAATATGGAAGATTGGAAATAAGGATGATAATAAGGGAACTGAGTTATGGGTTGATGAAGAAAATAAGATGATGAGATGACAATAGAAACACTGATTAGTAAATTAGCAGAGGATGAGAAGAGAGAGAGAGGAGATGAGGAAGATAAGAAAGTGTAGATAAACTATTGTGAGTTAATCAAATCGAATAATCGAAAGTTAATTCTCATTGACAGTCAATTCTATTGTTAAACAATCAACTGTAAGTGTTTATCAATAATCATTATCATCAAGGAGTAAACAAAATTCACCAATAAGTAAACAAAACGATGAAAAGTTTTGAAAAAAGTTTTTCTCTTCCAAAACAAAGATTCTGGTGATAATCATATGGGAAGATAATACATTACACTGCCATCTACTTATGATAAACTTTTTCTGAGAAGATGATGATGATGATCTTTGCATGAAAAAAGAGAGGGATGATTTTTGAGAAAGAAAGAGGTCACCACTGAATATGGAAGATTGGAAATAAGGATGATAATAAGGGAACTGAGTTATGGGTTGATGAAGAAAATAAGATGATGAGATGACAATAGAAACACTGATTAGTAAATTAGCAGAGGATGAGAAGAGTGAGAGAGAGAGGGAGGAAATTAGGGAGGAAAAAGTTGTGGATGATAATGGAAGATAATGTTTTTCACTTTCTCTTTTCTCTTTCTTTTTCTCAGATCATCTTCTCATCATCTTGAATGATAATCAGGTGAATCTATTTTAAACCTTAACAATCAATATTCTGATGAACTGAATTGAAACTTTTTTTCAGTACAACGAAAAAGTATCACTTTTAATATTATGGATTAATGATATTGTCTTAATCGTTAATGATTATCTGGTTACACGCAAAGGTAAAAAGTTACTAATCATTCATCATGAATGGTAATTATTTTAGTGATAATTTCAATTTATCAAATTATTATTGAGTTATTGCAACTTCCTGATTAAAACTTTGATTCATTTTAAATGATTTCCTGTGAGTGAATCCAATTAATCCTTGAACTTTTTTTTGTCTCATGAAATAATCAGAATTTTCAACATTTTGATTAGAATCTCTCTCTCTCTCTCTCTCTCTCTCTCTCTCTCTCTCTCTCTCTCTCTCTCCATGATTCAGCTCACATTTAATAAATTATCATCATGACAATCCTACTATCATGTTATATAATAATAGATAAATTATTGGAATACTCGGAATTGTCTCAATTGTAAGTTATCGTATAGTTTTTATCAAGTCGAGTCACGAATCGGGCTGAGAAATTGATTCCAAAGTAAATGAAGATTCTGAATGAATGAAAATGAACATGATGATGATGAAAATTATTACGAACAAAAAAAGGAAGAAGAAAAGATCAGAAAGAGAGAGAGAGAAGCAGGAATTAGGTAATTGAAAGAAAAGTTCTAATTCTGATTTAACCTTCGACTCTTTTTATTTGCAAAGAAAAGTTCAACGGACCATTGACTCGAAAACGAGTACGATTCAATTACAGAATCACAAATAACAACAGTTATCGTTAATTTTTTTAATCAACTTAATGATACAATTTACTTTTAATGGTTCAACAATCAGTGTCACTTAATGTGTTTTTTTCACGATTAACCAACATTACATATTATTGGATCAATTGATTGAATATCATATAAATTTAAGACTGAGAATTAAACTTAATTGTTTACTTACTTTCAGTGGGTCGATTTGATTCAATAGCATCTTTGGTTACCTTGGTTTCTGGTGGATTTGCAACTAAAATTAACGTAAAGAGAAAGCAATTTGGTTACAATTAAGTTAATTCAATCTTCGTTCCAAAGATTCATTCATTGATTCAAATTCATTAGATGAGATAAATATCATGAACTTTTCAGAATTCCAATTACATAGATGGTGATTATTTTTCACATATTTCTTGATTGCGAAAAAAGCTTTAAATTGTTGTCAGTTATCATTTAGAACGATTAATTTGATTGTCATTTCCAAGGATAATTTGATGACGAAATAATTTTTTCCCCTTGTAAATAAGGTACAAGGTCAAGTTGATTGACAATTAAGACACCTAATTGTCAAGTTCCTAGACGATAAAGACTCAGGGTGTGGTTGAAATTCAATGTAACAATCATAACAATTTAAAGCTTGACAATTAATGTACAGTTTGTGCCAGTCAATTGTTGATTTTTCAATTGAATCATCAGCAATCAGATGATTTTACATCTCTGATCAATAATCAATCAATTGTGATTAACTTTTTCTTTAATCTAATCATGAGCCAATAATGATAACAATTTAAAACGTTGATACGGAAAAGGTTAATTGTCAATCTGATTGGTGATTAAAAAATTAACCAGGAAATTAAATATTTTCATAATTTAACCACAAGATGGCGACAGTGTACAGAGAAAATATTAAAATGCTAGAAAATGAGATTAATAGTTGATAAAGTGAAAGATTATCAAATATTATTGATAAAGAATTGAAAGTTACTTAATGAATAATAGAATATTAAAAGAAAAGTTGGAAATTCTAAAAATTTATTCTCTCTCTCAATTATCTATTAGAAAAAGAGATGATCAGAATTTCTCGGTGAAAAAAAAGGATAAAGTTCCAATTGAATTTGAGCTGAATTTCAATGTGTAATTTAAACTCATTCTGTCTTTCCAGTTGACAAAAGGTATTATTGTTATGATGATTATGATGGAAGTTATTAAATTTTTCTGCTCACTTGTTGTCGTTTTATATCATCTCCCTCTGTCTCTCTGCCTCTCCCTCTCACGAGTCTCATGTATAACTTACAGGGTCGATTTGGAGGTTTACCTTTTCTTTTCTTTTTTTTACTCTTTTTTACGAAATTGAAAAATTCATATTATTCTTTGAGATTTTTCGTCCATCATTTTCTATCTACGAAAAGATATCATCCAGCATGATAAATTCTCCCTCCATGTTACTTGTGGTGTGTAATCATGGATTAACTGGGAATTTTGTTGCTTTTGTTTAATCAACGACTTAGAGAATCGATATCAAGTAAATAATATCAATTTGTGGATATAAAGATGATATTCTTTACTATATTCATGGAGAAATGTTCATATTCTCTTGTTATCCATTCCATCAGAATATTCATAGAGAGAAAGAAAGAAAGAAAGAGTGAGCCCATAGTGAGAAAATTCCCTCAGAACAAATATTTCCATGGGTATTATCACCAATGAATTTCGAATAATCGTTTTTCAAATGACATGATGAAAATAAACTTGAAACTTTTGTTTATTATATGAACCAGAACGACTGAACGATTATCTTATGATGGCGATAAAAAAAGCTCAAGGTGAGAAAATAAATTCCATTGATTTTGTATCAGAACGTTTTCTATACTTTGGCGAATTTGATTCGTATCATGATGTTTGAATTTATGGAATATTTTTTTTTCTTTTCTCAGAAAACTTAACCTTCTAATTTGATGAACTTTTTTCCTTTGCTCATTTCTATTTTTCTCGCTCTCTTTTTCTAATCCTTGGGAACTTATTAAATGGTTGAGTTAACATTTTCCATTCTAATGTTTCCCCCATGATCATTATTATTGTTATCATCTGAATAATCATCATGATCCTCAGAGTGAACCACACAAATGAAACCACTTTTGAAGATGAGAATCGGTAGACAAGAAAACGAAAGAAAGAAAAAAAGAGAAAAAAATTCAAACTCATTTTCACTTTTTTGCTTCTCTTCCAAAGAAATCATTTTTTTCCACCCAATCTTCTTGGTATCATGTTAATATATTGAAAAGCAACAAAATTATCATCATGAAGTCTATTAGTTCATGATGGATACCTGAATAAAGAGACAAAATATTCAGGGAGAAAATAAATCCTTTCGAGAAAAAAAAAGAATCAGGAAAAAAGTTCAGAGTAAAATCTCAACACTGAATTCTTACAATGAACAACCACTTAGATTTCAATCATTTTTTTTTTCTAAACTCATTGTCACTTGAAATCTTCTGAATATCATGAAGGATATTCATGATTAGAATTTTTTTTATTCAAACTGACAAACACAAAAAAAAGATGACCTAAAGTGTTGACCCTTTTCATCAATAATCCATGAGGAGATTCACAGAATCTACTATCTGAATATCGTATTTGTTTTAAACTTATTCAAGTTTTATCTATGAAAATAATATCATGGATAATGTTGAATATGATTGCATCAGAATCCATGTCAATCCATCCGCATCAATGAATTTATAATGGTTTTTATGACGATGGAAATATTAGTTAGCATTATATAATAGTAGAGAAAGTGAGAGCTAATGTCAACATTAAGCATAATCATGATATTTCATGGAGATTAAATGAATAAAGGTATTCCAATTCACTCCTGATATAATCTCAATCTATTATTGTTATTATGCAATAATGACCAATAGTAAATGGATAATAAATGGATAAAAAAATTCCAACATATGAAATGTTTATGAAAGGAAAATATTTCCAATCAATTTTGGTTACCATGAAAGTTTCAAATGAAACGATATCGATGCTCATGTACAACTATTATCTTCATGATGGATAATCATCTGAGTTTATCTATTTTTTACTTAGAGATTACCAAAAGGTGAGGTTAAAGGTTAGTCTTGTTTATAACTCGAGGTTAATTCATTTTAGATGTGAAGTAAATATAAAACTGGACATTTTTGGTAATTGTTTTTGTCATGTTTTAATGGAAAGTGAATCATTGCCTGAGATGAATCTTTTACCTGAGAAAAGAAAAGGAGATCATGATGATAATGAGAAGATAAAAAGGATAACCAATGAATTTTTCTCTCTCTTTCTACCTTTCATTGGAATAAAAGATTGAGAAAGCCAATTGATTAACGAAATGACGATTGACTTAATAGTCTATTCTATGGATTAATGTTCAATTCTGGTTAATCGATAAGAAAACAACAGTGGAAAACAATAAAAGACATCAAGAGGTTCATATTATATCATCAAGAGAACTGTAAGGAAAGAGTTGAATCTGAACACAAAGTTAAGAATCGCAAAGTTGATCAACTATTACGATGAAGGAAAATTGAAAGTGGGAAGGATGGATAAGCTTTGACAGGAAGAAGATGAAGATGATGGGGAAAAGGATAAGAGTAATAAAGAGTATATATATTGTATGATAAGTGAGATAAAAAGAGATGAAGATGATAAAATAATAGAGATAAAGGTCACGAGGATAAAGACAAAAACTATGATAAAGTTAATTAAAGTCCAATGAGATAATAATATTAATGATGAAGATAAACGAGGACAAATATTATTACGCAAGTGTAACAATTGATTGACCAAAAATTGACAATAATATTACACATACAGTTAGAATTTAGGTAAATCAATGATTAAGTGATTATCTTTCTGGTCTCATAGACAGTAAAACTATTTACCGTTATAACAATTTCCATCTTCATCGTCATCATCAGTTTCATCTACTTACTTATTACTCTGGTTCTGATTCTGGTATCTTTCTTATCATCAACATCTTCATCATCATCATCTTCATCTTCATCTTGAAAGGATATTCATCACTCTTGAAGCTGAAAATTTGACTCTTTCATTTTTTTTTTCTTCTCCTTCATCACTCAATTTTCATCATGATGACACTTTCATTTCCATTCTGTAATCAGATTATCATTAATTTGATTCATTGACTTTCAACATGATCCATTTTTTTCTGGTTCCAATATATTTAGAACTAATTTTTTTTTCTCTTCTTTTCTATTCCTTGTAATCTTATTCAACTGAATTAATATGCATCCATAGAATCAATTTTAATTGTAATCTATCCTCATTATCTTTACCTATCCAACCGAAAATAATCAAATCATCATCATGAGCATCTTGTTGACAATTTTTACCTGTATCATGTTAAAGATTAACATCCTTAGTTGAAAGAGTAAAACTAATTGATATTAATCAATATAAAGGGCAAAAAAGTATTCCAAATTGATTAACTAATTAACAACCATTTCTAAATGTAAACTAATCATGAAATGTTGACAAAATTTTCCTTTGAAAGTAAAAATCCTTTTGTCAATTTATCTTAATCTGAATGTGACAAAATTGTATCAATATTTTGTATCCTTTGAGTTATATCATTCATGGATTTACATTCATCTTTCACCCTGTCAATTGAATCAAGAAGTACTTTACTCATGGTTATATTCAATTCTGGTAGTGAATTATTACAATTTTGCTATCGATTCTGATTTGACATTAAAATTTGTTGACATTTCAAAGTAAATTCCCAATTTGAGTTGTTTTAATTGTAAATCAATTAATTAAGCATCGGGAATCAATGTTATCCTAATCGTTGAGCTGAAAACTCATCAGCAAATTTTAATAAACTTGTCAAAAGATTCAATTAACTACCTGAATGGATAAACTCAATTGTTGTATAAAAAATACACATGAAATCACCATGAAGATTCACTCATGGTATTGATTCTGGTTTTATAGTGAATTCAGAGTATTCAGTGAAATAGTAAAAAAAAGTATAATCGTGAAAAAAGTTCTGAATCAAGTTCAGTGGGAATATATTTACATTTTCATCATGTATCAGTACGAAGGGTAAAATTAAAAAGGTTTGGAAAAGTTCATTTTATAAATTGAACAAATAAACACACAAGATTAACTAATCATGAAAAGAGGGGAAATTATTCTGATTCTTGAAAGAAAACAATACATATTATCATGGATCATGGTTTGATCACT